GTGGTTCTAGGTTCTGTAGATGGTTCTAGGTTCTGAAGGTGGTTCTAGGTTCTGTAGGTGGTTCTAGGTTCTGTAGATGGTTCTAGGTTCTGAAGGTGGTTCTAGGTTCTGTAGGTGGTTCTAGGTTCCGTAGATGGTTCTAGGCTCCGGAGGTGGTTCTCGGTTCCGTAGGTGGTTCTAGGTTCTGGCGGTGGTTCTAGGCTCCGGAGGTGGTTCTAGGTTCTGTAGGTGGCAACACAAACGTTCCAGGAACCTCTCCCTGACTGGCTCTGCTGGCCGTTCACTGTAGGGTCAGACAGCAGCTACTCGACATAAGTCACACATGTAGGAAGCAGGTCAGTGGAGCTTCCTGATGTCGGCCTTCATGACAGATTTTTCTTCGCTGATGCTGATGTTAGAGCAGAAGGCTGCTGCTGGACTTTATCAAAGACTTGTTGTCTTCTTCAGGTTTAACCAATCAGCATAGAGAGCCACACAGTGCTGCTCAGAAGTACCTCCCCCAGAGCAGGTACTTTCTGTCCTCTGAATCTTCTCTGGACGACGTTCTACAGGAACGTTGTTGTGATGGGAGCTCCAGGTGAGGGCCGCCCTGACAGCCCACAGCCACAAAATCTATCACTCATGTAGTTAAACTGAATAAGATGTGCTTTCTTAACGTGTGAACAGAGAAACTGTAGTTATTGTTTTTTAAATAAATCCCACATCCTGCAACCAAAACAAACAAAATAAGTTTAAAATCAGTCCCAGCAAATACTCTGATTAATCCTGTTGGAATGACTTCACAGAGAAACTGCAGTTGTTTTAGGAGGTTATCTGGTCTTTAGTTTTATTTTTCTATCTTTGGGAACAACGGATGCAGGGCTGAGTGATGACAGCAGAAAATACTGTGACCAAAATCAGCTTCATTTGGATTTATTGAAAATAACAAACATAAAAATCAAAAACTACAACTAGAAGTTCAGCATTACCAACTTCATTCTTTAGCATCGTGAGTAAAGTCCTTCCTTCAAAAAGCTTTTTCAGCGACACGCAGCAAAACCTGCAAAAATGTGAATCTGGCTTTTTTTTCATTTATTTTTTTTCCACACTGAATATGTCAAAACATCATTTTATGTAGCACTTGATTAAATGTACTCACATTTCTTTCCATTCCTGGTTAATAAGGAGGAGTAGGATGAACAATGTAAAATATAAAATACGTCTACATCAGGTCTAATTCACTCATAAAGCCTTTCAAAAACCATAACGGCGTGTGTCAAAGACCTGAACTAAACCTGAGCTTAGCTAAGTCTCACTAATAAATGAAGCAATATGGTAAATAATTCAGACTAAAGCTCAAGGAAACAAACACACAAGATGGATATTAAAGCTGTAAGAAGCCTTCAAAGCTCAGCTGAGCCTAAACTTTGCCACCTGAGCTTCAAAGAAAACAGGAAACAAAGCAAAAGGACGACCAGATAGTTCAGAGGAGACTTCAGAGCTATGTGATTAAACTTAAGCCTGAGGTTTCTGCTCAGCAAGGCTCACATCAACAGCCTTTATGCCACAGTTCAAGCTCATTATTTTCATGATCAATAAGTTAAAACGTTGAGAGGCTTCACGACATGTTAACTGTGCAGCTCGCCGACAGACTGATGCCTTTACATGGTCAGAAAAAAATCCACTTCAGGCTCCTTCATGTCAGGAGGGACACAAGTCACTCAGAACATCTTCATCTTCAGCCTGTGATGCTGTCAGAGAGGTATTCATGTAACCATATGTGTGTAATATTGTAGTTTGCAGTAGTGATTGATCTTTATATGTTTTGTACAGTATTAGCAACACATTGTGCTGCAGCACTGGCCTCAGTCATAAATGTAGTTAAACTAACACTTCTCTGAAAGTTTTCAAAACAACAGACCAGAACAAGCTTCATAAAAGCCCAATAAGTGGCTCCATTTAGAGCTCAGTCGAGACTCAGTTAGTGTTTATCCAACATTTCCATCCAACATAGACGCAGGTTAGCGTTTTTGGACACGACTGCATGTAAACCTGGATTACCTGATGTGTTCGGCCATCTGGTGGCATCGCAACATGCTGCGACGCTAATATGGAAAATGTGTTGGCAAGCAGTAGCTCACAAACTTAGCACACGCTAATGGACAGCATTTGGATCCGTGCTTCAGGAATTCTGGTGCATTTTCAGTCCAACATTGTTTTACTAGCTGCTACATTTTTCTGCAAATCTGTTTTGGCGCTGGACAGGTACCTGCCACGGATTTAGCAAGAATCTTCTGGCAGAAAACAGCTGCCTGCTGGATTTCAAACCAAAACAGAAAGGTTGTGGCCATAAAAGAGAAACAATGAGCGATATGAGGGTAAAACTATCTGTAGAGGTGAATGTCCAGTTCTCTACTCTCATTGTACACATAGTAGATATGCATTTGATTCATCCTTAAAATCTGTGTTTGTACGGCTTCATATAGCAAATAAACTTCGAGCTGAGCACTTTTATGTTCACTATTCAGCAGGTTCAGCTGNAAAAAAAAAAAAAAAAGGTTCTCAATTGAATTTCTTTAAAACTGCCTGTTGCATAAACTGATGACATAAAAGTACTTCAGCTGTGGGAACCTTCACCCACATCACCCACTCGTGGTTTCCAGTGATTTTAAAGATGTAAAGCACCTTTTACGGGGAATTTTCAAAAGACTGTCACACATCAACATAGACCACTGCTGAGTTTAAGAGTTTGTCCCATCAGTGCGACTAGAGCTGATCACGTATGAATCACTATCAAACAGGGAAAACTGCTATTAAATGCAATAAACTATAATATTACTACAGTTATTAGAAACTGTTGTTTAAATGGAAACTCCCAGAGGACGTGGTTGTTTTATTGCCTTTTGTTTAAATGTTCATTCGTGCCATAGCTGGTACATTATGGCTGCAAGATACGAGTAAAGCAAGGAGCAGTATTAGTACAGAGAGTAAAAACACCACAAGTTTAAGGTCTGAGCTGCAGCCAGTAATCTGTGGCCTCCTGTGTTCATAGCACGGCAGATGAATGGACCGAGAACGTCTTTCAGTGCCGGTGAGGCGCTTCGTTGCTCATCAGTGGTTCTTACAGGCAGCTGAAGTGCACGGCATCAGTACCTGATCAGAGCCGGTTCAGCAGCCGTGTGAGGGTGGCAGGATTTGTGCTTTCTGCACACAGGACAGCACTCCTGAGAGTGAAGCAGGACGGGGAACAGTCTGCTGTTGATCCTGTAGGAGAACGTACCTGGACAGGAGATGAGAAAGCAGAGTGTTAGTGGAGCTGTCATCAAAGAAGTGTCGTATTCTGATGGATGACACCTCTTACACTGATGAGTGTCCACGTGGGCCTCTGGGTCGGCCTCGTCTGTTAGCAGTGGTGGGACTGGACGGTTCTCCTCAGAAAATCTATGAGGAGAGTCCATTAACAGTCATTTAATGATGCCACGCGATATCATTCAGTACAGTGAGAGGAACTCACTCCGTCTGTCCGCTGTGGACACACTCGTCTTTATTCAGCGATCGAAACATGTGCAGATCATTGAAGAACTCGTCAGATCGTTCCACCAAAGAGTCCTCAGCATCCAGGACTCCTAACAGGGTGAAAACAAGCGTTAGTGGTTCATTTGATGACTACATGCGACAGACAGACCAATGAGGCGTACCTGCTATCCAGTCATATCCCAGTAAGGGCTGCACATGATGCCTGCTGGAGGCCGGTACGTCATCATGGTCATCGGACGGCAATGTGGCTCGACTCTGTGCCTCCTTCTGGAAAAGCAAACAACATGTTAGTGGTCTGGATGCTCCAGTTCAGCCATGCTTTACTTCACATGTTTAGATCGAGTGACTGCATACACAGCATGTTGTTAGTGTCAGAGAGGTGCAGCATCATTTGTCCTCAGAGCAGTGTCAGTTTTAATATGTGGCATTGGTGGGTCCAAAGTTTAATATTTACTGAAAAATTTCTGTCCTTCTGACTTCATTACTGGGTGGAAAAGCGTTGAACAACAACATAAATATTGGACAAATGCTGCAATAGTTTGGCTTTAAGGAAACTGAATTATGTTCAAATGTTCTGGGGTAGCGGGACATTTGCAAAGCTTCTTTTAAAATGAAAAAAACTGCATGTGCGGTGGAGACAAAGACATCCTGCCATGAGGACGAATGCATCTTCAGTTTGGGACGCATAACTTTCCCCTTTGTAAGACACAGTAACTCAGATTTAGGGAATCAGGTCAGGGTGGTGCTGATGCTCCTCTGCCGTGATTCACTGGACCGGACTTGGTGCCGAGTACCTCCATGTCACGTAGTCTGCTGCCGTCGACTGGAGGACGTCTCTGGCTGCCTGTGAGGAGGTCTGATGTACGTTCAGCAGTTCCTCCTCCGTGGTTGGATGTCGGTGGTGCAGCAGTCTGCTGGATGTCTGTTTGTGTCTCACAGATATCTGATGGAGACAAAGAGGAAACCAGTAATCAGGCCTACTCTGAGGACACATAATGACCTAAAAGTGAACTTTCAACTGCATCTGTCATCTTATCATGACACCAAAGTTATAAACTAAAGTCAAAGCCATCCTGAGATGAAGCTAACAGCACTGAAGGACCTCCAGCTAACTGTGGGCACATTTGAAGTCTCTTATTCCCCCTTCAAATAAAGAGCAACTGCTCTGTAATGCAGGCTGTTAGGCAGCCTGGGTGTGCATCTGAAACTAAAGTGTGACTGAACACAACCAGCTGCTGCCTTTAATGTGAA